AAAAAAAATTCATATTCTTTGTTCAAGAAAGATAAGCTTTCCTTAGAAAAATCATCAACCTGGGGATTGTACATTGACAAATAAATAGATTGTTAAATTTATAATCTAGACATACACACAAAACTATGTAAGGCGCCATCGAAGAGCAGGTAGACAATGAGCCTCTTGCCTGTTCTAATGTTGCAGATAATCAGATAGAGGAAAAAATCGGTGCAGACAGGCAGCTAAGAATTTGTTTTGAGAGGAACTCAAAATACTGAGGCCAGGCTGCATGGAGAGGAAAGCTGGCCTGGACAGAGAAGTATGCAAAGCTGAAACTTGTACAGGAACAGGCAGCATTCCTGGACAGAAGAACAGCCTAGAAAGGAAGGGCGTCACACAGAGTTCCTCAAACATTAACCCAAATCCTGGCACTGGTCAGATACCAGAGAATCTGATGACAACCAGGTGGGGACTCCACCCAGGACCTGAGAGAATGCTGTTGCTTTGGATAGACAACCACGGTAAGGTGGTCCATGTGTGCCCACACATACACACAAAATAGATAAATTAATAAAAATAAACAATGTGTGTCAAATCAGAAACAGTAAGTGAGAGAATTAATGTTGGATCTCAGGGTGCTTGTCCCCGAAGGATATGTATAAATTCTGGTCAGGTGGCCGTGATAGATTATTGAGCCTTACACTTACAAATGTCTTTAAATGCACCAAGGCCTTAGTGGATTAGTGTTGGGTACCATATTAGAGGAGGTGCCAAGCTCCCCGAGTGTTCTTGCCTCCAGGGCCCTGGCAGTGGCTGACACATGGAGTGTGAGCATACAGCTCTCTAGGAAAAGATGGTAACAGGAAAGGAGCCTACAGGAGACAAGGGCCCTGAGAACTTAAGGGGTGCAGGTAGTCAAACCAATCACTCTGGGGAGCTGAGAAGCATCTTCCTGCTACCTCACTCAGAGTCATTCCTTAAGGGCCAGGGGAACGAGTTCAGATGGTTCCCAGGCTCTGAGGCAAGGAGAGAGAGTAACCATGTTCTTCCACTGCTGAGGATTGATTCTTTTTTAAGATTTATTTATTTATTATGTACAGTGTTCTGCCTACATATATGCCTGCTTGCCAGAAGAGGGCACCAGATCTCATTACAGATGGTTGTGAGCCACCATGTGGTTGATGGGAATTGAACTCAGGACCTCTAGAAGAGCAGCCTCTTAGCCTCTGAGACATCTCTCCAGACTTTTTTTTTTTTCCAGACAGGGTTTCTTTATGTACCCTTGGTTATCCTGGAACTCACCCTGAAGACCAAGTTGGCCTCCAATTCACAGAGATCCACCTGCCTCTGCTTCCTGAGTGCTGGGGTTAAAGGCGTGTGCCACCACTGCCTGGTGGGGATTGACTTTTTGTTTTGGATTTTTGTTGTTGTTGTTCTGACACAGTGTATTGTTATACAGTCCTGGCTGGACTGGAACTTGCTTATGTAGACCAGGCTAGCCTTGAGCATGCAGCAGATCCTCTTGTTTCAGCCTCCAGTGTGTTGAGATTAAAGGCATGAATTCTCATATGTTTCTTTAAATTCCATCCAAGTTAAAAATTCTTAATTTTCAGCTCTGGATGGTGGTAAGAAAACCACCAAAGTTCCAAGTTTCAAAAAGAATGTTTAAAAGGCTGGTGGGGCAAACATGTAATGCAAGCTACTTTAGGGATACAGAGTCAATTCACAGCTAGCATAGGTAACTTAATGACTCTATCTCAAAATCATAAGTAAAACTGAGGGCTGGGGATATGGGCCAGTGGCGCAACAGTCACCCAGCATGCAGGAAGCCTTAGGTCCACTTCAGTATTCATGTATGTATATATATATATATATATATTCATATACATACATGCATACTGAAGGAGCTGATGTGGTGGGCATGCATGTAATCTTGATACTTCCAAAGCAGAGGTAGGAGGATAGCAAGTTTAAATCCATCTTGGGCTATGGAATGAGACCCTGTTCCCAACATCGGGGAGCTGGAGAGATGGAGCAGGTGGAATGATGATTTCACTGGAAGAATCATGAACATTGGTTGTGTTACTCACCAGAGTCCCACACTCAGTACAGTTCTGGTATTCTGATTTCATTCTTTTGGCTATGTCAGTTGCTGGAACTCCCTCTGAAGGAAGGTATGCCCGGCAGTATGGACATGTCCATTTATTATTCTTTATACTGGTCGCAATACAGGATCGGCAGAACCTACTCAAAAAACAGAGAATAATCAGGAGACATGGCTCAGCACTTGAGTTCACACTGCTCTTCCAGAGGGCATGAGTTCCACTCCCAGCACTCAAGTCTTCTGGCCTCCCAGGACACCTGCACTCATACCCACATATAGACACATACATGTAATTTAAAATACACATACATGTATTTAAAAATAAAATAGCTAGGCACGGTAGTCCATGATTTTAACCCTAGCACTCAGGAAGCAGAGACAGGCAGATCTGTGAGTTCAAGGTCAGCCTGGTCTACACCGTAGGTTCCAGGCCAGCCAGAGTCACACCATGAGACCCTGTCTCAACAAAGAAGGTAGGACCTATAAAGGTCCATCCAACTGCTCCCAGGTAAAAAGACCAGAATCTCCATTCTACTCATGGCTCTGCGTGGAATTCCAAAACAGTCAATCCAGTTGGGTCTATCAGTCACCTCAGACAGGCTGCTTTCCTCAAGCCACGGTAAGAAGAAGAAGAAGAAGGGAGGAATGATTATCCCCGTAATAAGGTACTTTTTCTTCTCAGAAACCCCACCCTGGAAGTAGTCTCTTATGGAGACACCACTTTTCTGAATTATCCAGAAAAATGTAACTTTTTCTCTTTCTTCCTTCCAAACTCTGGGCATGCTTTCATCCATACTCTGGGTTTTCTCAGTCTCTGCTCCTGCCATGTGGCTGCTTGCCAAACATGTTGGACCCTAACTCAAAAGGCATGACTTTCTCCTCATGTCTAATTTTTTTTTATAAATGAGACTAAGAATCTGAAAAAGGAACCTCAGTTTTCCCACTACCATCTCTACCTCCTATAATCTCTACCTGGGATTACAGGAAGCCATCACTTAGCCTGGCTGAAAATATATTCTTGTTTTGTTTGTCTGTTTGTTTTGAGAAAGACAACTGTGCAGTCTTGGTTGGCCTGGAATGTACTATGTAGATGAGGCTGGCCTCAAAGTCATAACATCTGCCTGATTCTACCTCCTAAGTGATAATATTAAAAGCATGGACCATTATACACAACCTTGGAAGTATATCCTTGTAAGAGTATTCATTACAAATGATTCAAATGTGTTCTCCTCCCCCCCAAGACAGGGTTTCACTGTTGTAGCCCTGGCTGTCCTGGAACTCTGTAGACCAGGCTGGCCGCGAACTCACAGAGATCTGCCTGCCTCTGCCTCCTGAGTGCTGGGATTAAAGGGGTATGACACCATTGCCCAACTACAATTGTTCAACTAAAAAAAAAAAAATAACATTCCAAATACAACATCAATGGCTCCAACCTGAATTATCTGCTCATGTGACTTATATACCAACAGATAACCCCTCACTCTATTGAAGTCGGAGATGAGACTGCAGAAATAATCAGTTTAAAAAGACCTCAGATTTTAAGTTGGGATTGGTGGCACACAGCTACATAATCTCAGCACTTGGGAGACGGAGGCAGGAAAATTGTAAATTCAAGGTCATCCACAGCTTAATAGCTAATTTGAGTCTAGTCTAGCCTCAAAACAAAACAAAACAAAACAAAAGGGAGATAAGGAATAAAATAAAAACAGGGGTATATCCTTTGTCATATTAGAAGAAAATAATTTAAATCTGCACGATAATACACCACTATAATCCCAGTGCTTGGGAAACAGAGGCAGGAGGATTTCAGTCAACCTGGGCTACATGTGAGAGTTCTAGGATAGCCTGAGCTACAATACAAGACCCTTTCCAAAACCAAAACAGAAAAAAACAGTGGTGTGACTCCAAAGGAACCTGGAGAACTGGGGATACTTTTCTAATGGAAACAAAACAAAAAACTACACCAGCTCCTCAAACTCACAGAGATCTACCTGCCTCTGCATCCTGAGTACTAGAATTAAAAGCATGCACCACCATAAAAAACAAACAAACAACAACAACAAAAAAAAAAAAAAACTACACCAGCCTCAGACCACTTTGCTGAGGTTCAGGAGGGCAACTAGGAATCCCAGGGCATAAGCTGAGCTGTGCAGAGGGAGATGAGTAGACACAGGACCAGCCTAAACTCAAGAGGAAGATCACACAAGTTCAAGGCTAGCCTAGGTGCCAGTCCAGAGTACCATGAAAACATGTATTGTTTTTAGTTGAACGTTTGAACCACTTGCAATACATACTCTTCAAGAATACACCTTCAGCCCATAAGCCCTCTCTCAAAACAGGAAACCAGGGCAAAAGCTGAGAGTAACAGAGAGGTAGAGAGAATTAAGCAGGAATTTTAATATTTCATAGGTCATTCTAGGTCCTACAAAAGAATCAACCACTTCATATACTTTCAAGTTTATAGCAAATTTATTCGAGACACTTTGGTGCCTTAAACTGAGTGTGGGAGAACAAACCTGTAAACATGACACTTAGGAAGTCAAAAAAGGATTACAAGTATAATATGATCCTCAGCAAGTTCAAGACTAGCTTGAGCCACACGAGATCCTGTCTCTAAAAACCAAGACTGGGGCTGGAGAGATGGCTCAGGGGTTAAGAGCACTGGCTACTCTTCCAGAGGTCCTGAGTTCAATTCCCAGCAACTACATGGTGGCTCATAACCACCTATAATGAGATCCAGTTCCCTCTTCTGGCATGCAGGCAGAACACTGTACACATAACAAATAAATAAATCTTAAAAATACAAAACAAAACAAGACTGGACTAGGCGTAGAGCTCAGTTGGCAGAGCGCTCGCCTTGCTTGTATGCACCCCAGGTCCCATCCCCACCACTGTATAAACTGGACATGGTTGTACACACCAGTAATCCCGGAAATCCAGAGGTTGAGGGTGGAGGAGTTCAGGGTCATCTTAGCCTCACAGCGAGTTTGGTATACGAGACCCTGACTCAAAAAGCCAAGACATACCGGTGCCTTACACCAGCAAGTGGCAACAGACAGTGGCAAAGGGAAGAGACAGGCCACATAAAACCACGCCCCTTCTGCAAGTGAAAAGCTGCCAGCTGCATGATCCCAAAGTTGATGCCAGAGCAGATGGGGCTGATGGGGCTAGCCACAGGGGGAGAGACTGACCACAAAGGACAGGAAGGGATGCCTCAGCGGAAGGGAACCAATTGTTCCAGATCTCTCTCCATGTGGTGTTGCTACAGGCTGTGAACAATTGCTGCAATTCATCAACCACCATACACTGTATGAGTCACACTGTTTCACCTCAGTAAAGCTGAGAAGCAAAACAAAAACGTCTCTGTGATGACAGGCCAGTTACAGTAACACTGTGAGAAAGATCCCAGGGCCACTTGGAACACAGGCTCCCTCCTACACAACCCAGGCACAACAGCAGTTGCTCAGAGCATGCTCAGAAAGTTGACATAACAATCAGGAGGAACTGCCCACTAGACTTTTCTGGGAATTCCCAAAGTTCCCACGAAGAAATCGCACTGTGGTGCCTGTAGCTCAGTTGAGGGCGTGCTTGTGCACAAAGCCCCGAGTGCTGTGGTATATGCCTATAAACCCAGCATTTGGAAGTGAGAGCAGGAGGGGCCACAGTTCAAAACCAACCCCACTGACAGAAACAGTTGACCAGCCTGGACTCTATATGAGCTCCTGTCTCGAAAAGAGTGCGATTCTTTCTACCATGAGGACCCCAGGGGAGAGGAATGGACACTAGGAGAGGAGGGATTTGATTGTCTACCCCGTCCCATCAGGAGGCTGTGAAGTGAGAAATCACAAAAGGAAGGATCAATACAAAGAGAGTATGCAGTTGAAAGGGAAAAGCTGGACGTGGATGTAAATGGCACACCATTTTGAAAATCTTGCTCTAGCCCAGCGTGGTGGGACACTCCTTTAATCCCAGTACCCAGGAGGTGGAGGCTAGGAAGCTCTCGGAATTCAAGACCAGCCTTGTCTACAGGCCAGCCAAGGCTACATAGTGAGACCCTACATCTCAAACAGCAACAACAAAAACCAATCCGCCTCCTTGTTTTCAAAACCTCTGAATGAGGTTGGTGAAATACCCAGTAGTAAAAAGCGTCTGCCACCCGTTGTCTTCTGACCTCCACGTGGGCAACGCGGCACACGCACCCCACATAAAATTAATAAATGTAACTTTTAAATGAAAAAACAACCAACAAAAGGAAACCTTCTGGATTCACTCCCAGGGCTTTGAAATCAGATTTCACACTCAAGTCCAGTCTCCTGGCTCAGCTGTGAGCCTTGTCTTACTAGCCTGGTGCCACTCCAGTGCCATCTCCCAGAAGTGCTGGGGCTGAGGCCCTCTCCAAGGAGTGTGGGTGGCCCTTTGCTCTAGCACCCCGCCTGGCCTCCCTTGTAGCACAGCAGGAGAAAATCAATAAGGAACTCCATAATGACTCCACCAACTCTGAAACCAGCTGGAAACTTAATTACATCACTCCTATTTGTTATTTTACGAACCCCAGTCTATTTCTCTAAATTAAGTAATTAGCCAAATCCCCCGTAATAAAGAGGCCGGCAGAGCGCTGGAAGGAAACAGGAAAACACAGCTAAGGACCCAGGAGAGACTTATGTCCCAGTCTCAGGGCAAAAGTGAACTCTAAATGAATTGAAACAGGAAAGAGAAGCGCTGGGGACTTTCTGGGGTGGAGGAGAGGGTCCTGAGGGGAGAGTTCTGGAAGAGGCTGTTGGCAGCATGTGGCAGCCCTCACCTTCTAACTGAGAGACCCAACACAAAGTTTCATGATGGGTGTGCTGATAAAAAGACAAATTCAAACCTTGAGATGGCTAGTTTAATGGCTCACACCTGTAATCCCACCAGTTGGGAGGCTGAGGCAGGAGGATTGCTTTAAGTTGAAGGCTGGGCAGGGCTGTATAGTGTGTTCCAGGTCAGCCTGGGTTAGAGTGAGAACCTAAAATAACCTTAAAAAAAAAAAAAAGACATGAGCTGGCAAAGTAAGTATGGAAATGGAGACAGAATGAAGGGAGCCGCTATCCAAAGATAATAGTCACGGGCTAATATTCCACTACGGGGCAAACACACACACACA